AAGGGTCCAGCTCTCAGCTACAAATTTTCAGAGTGGTCCAGCATTATTCACCGGCAATGACTTCAGACACAACTTAGTGAACTGAAGTGTGGGGGAAAGAATCTGGCAGGGATAGAGAATAAGGGAGAGCATTTCACTCGACCTGCCACAGGCTTGAATTATCCTCCCCTGTTGATATGCAGGGAATTTTCGATTTTGCAAAGCCAAGTGACAATGTTACGCATGCATAAAATACCCAAATACAAATAACCTTATCATGCAGCCTTGTCTCATAACCTCGAATGGAATCATGCTGAAAATTGTCAGAGAATACAGTATTCATGCAATTGCTCATGTCTCTCAGGAAGAAACTTGAGGCATTTTCAGCTCCAAAGAGAAGCTGAAAAGACACCAAAGTCTGATTTTGAAGAATATTGCAGTAATGTAATTCAAGCTCTCTTTCTGTCCCTTGGTCTTTACTTTATCCTGGTCCAGTTTCTTGTAAGCATTTCCCTAGTAGAAAGCTAACTTGTGAGTCTGTGAACTCCTGGATTTCCGCTATCAGGTGGCCTGAATGTATACAGGATGGACACACTCCTGGGCCAGCTAACTGTGACCATGACCTTATTATTCTTCTGAACCACTGAAAGCTGGAGTCATTCCATTTCACGCCTTCAAATATCTGGATGGCTTTCATGCTCTGGTAGAAAGAACTGCCGAGAAGCTTTATTGAAACTGCTCATCAGCAAATTTACAGGGCTAAACAAATGACTTAGAGATCCAGAAATAAGTTAAGCATGAGATTATCTTTACTGATTAGGTGAGAAGAGAATTGCTTCTCCTTTATGTCCAAAATTGTAGGAAATGTGAGGATACTCCACGTTCGGCTTTCCCACCCCTTTGCAGTCTCTGTGCTAAGCGAGGCAACTACAAATCCTAAAAACATTCATGTTTTTACCTCTGCCTGATGGAGAACATGGCTACTACCCATGTTTTCTTTGCTATTAAAATTATTACAAATAATAAGACCATAATGTAGGGTTCT